TTAATGACTCATAAAGATTTTTTAATACTTTATAAAGATTTTGTTACAGAGCAAGGGACTTTACCGAATTTTCTTGAATATTTAGAATCATATAAAATAAAGAACAATTTTTAAGGTATTATGCATTTTAATATTCAATACAAAATCGTTCTATTATTTTTGTATATACTTGAAAAAAAAATCCTCGAAGTTATTGAAAACTACAGAAATTTATAATCATTAGTTCTAAGCCTGGCACTTGCAGTCTAAACAAATTATATACGGAATATAAACTAATCCAAAAACTTCTAAAACCACTGATGATGAATACTTGGCAATATTCAAATTTGAATAAAAATAAAGTTTTTGTATTTGTCCTTTCTTTCTCTGCTATTCGAAATCCCTCTAAATTTTAAGTATAGCTTTTTTGCCATTATAAAGAAAGCGTAGCTTTTTCAGCAACACTAATACAAAAATATCATCATTATAACAATAATTATTGGTAATAATACCAAATAATTCTAAAATTAAGGACAAAAAATATTTATTTCAATAGTTTATTGTTTCTATTATTTTAGTTTTAAAATTCACTCATAAGAAGCATACTAGTATGTATGTACAATATCTAGTAGTTATTACTATTAATTTATCTATAAAACTTAGTCATTTGAAAATTTTTTATACGAAAATATGCTCATGTCCTTAATTTTTCAATTCAAAAACAATAACACAATAAATCCTGTTATGTACTTGAAATACCACTTAAAAAATAATTGCTCCACTTACATGTTGAAGAGAAAGCTGAGATCAAAACAACTATCATTGATATTAAAATGTATGCAGTTTTGTAGTATTTAAACGAAAACTTCCAAAAATGTTGGCAGCAATCAATGTTTACCTGTGTAATCACATAGACATGCTTCAGTTGTTTGAGTGCACATATCCCCAGCGTATGTAATACTAAAATCAAATCAATCATCCATTTAAATGGGTTGATGCCATATCAGGTCAAATATAATCCAACATAAGCACACCTATAGATATGTCTTCGTCACATATATGTGTAATGCAGATAACACCTGCCAATTGAACGTATTTAGCAATGTAGAAAGGATGGCAGGTGTACACGTGTGATCTGGAAGCATTTTCAAATGTGCTGCATTGTAAACATTTCATTCCATCAACCCTTATCAGCGTGTCCCAATCTTGACACTTTTACATCGGTGCCTTGTTTGTTCGCATGTCAACAGCTGCAAATTGCACAACATAACAGAACGTAGCACGTACCGTGAAATCGAGCAAAATGAAAGGCGCAACAACTATACTATACACAGATTTGTGCAATGGATTTCTAAACTTAAGTGCAAATGGATGAGAAACGATAAGGCGATAAGAATCACTGCCACTATAACTGTAACTGGCACAAATTTTTATATACAAAATACTTCATTCATTCACTTTTCCCAGTTCGATCGAAATTCAGTTGAATTCAGTTTTTAATTTGTCACATTGCGCACATCAACACAACGTCTTCTAAAGTTTTCATTAGAATCGAGTGGCAAAAGTGAAATACTCGTAGCAAAAAACGTTGACAAATGGACTAAATGCTACCAGTAGGTTAAAAGCATGGCGTCAAGAGCAAAAAATAACTCCAGGTACAGCAATCAGTCCCTAATGACGGACGGAAATGCATGTAATTAAAATAGATTAATCGAAGGAAATTGCATTTGTTGGAAAACTAATGAAAATAAGTTTAATTAATGAAAGTAGGCAAAAGAAAATGGAAAATTATATAAAAAAATATTAAACGTTTCATTAAATGAAACACTTGACTTTGATGAAATCGAAGACAATTTAAATTAGATAGCAAAAAGACAACAAAACCTATTGAATTCATTAAAATAATCATCAACGTTTGAAAATTGTAGATAATTATATAATAGGAAATTGCAATTTCAACTGAAATTAATGAAATTAGTTATTTTAGAAATTTTATAAACGTGATGGTTTTCACAAAAATATAATAGGTATTAAATTTTTCTTAACTTAAGAAATAAACCAAATATTTAATATACACTAATTCAATTTTCTGATATAGGACACTACTAAATTTCTAGAACGTTTGAGTAGTAATAAATATTTTTGTGCATTTTTGGACCAATTTATTAAAAGGGCACTCGAGAAATAAATAGTCATTTACAGAAATAAAAGAATTTCTTTTAAAAATTGTGCACTAAACGATATTTACTGAAGATATAACCAACATTTTTTCAAAAAAAAATTAATTTTAAATAATAATATCCAGACTAGGATAATAGAATAAACAAGCAGGTTAAAAATAATACAAGGTGTTTAATAAAATTTATGTTTGACTCAACCATTTATCGATCAACAATTTTGGAGACATTGACTGTTTTTTGACAAAAGTCTTTTTAAGTTTTCTGTAAATTGTATTTCGATTAATATTAAAATTGAAATATGCACTTTACTCACCTACACCTAGCCATAAATGATAATATTAAAAATAATATTTGATGATTTTGACAATACAATTTAGCTATATTGATCTGTCCGTTTAACATACTTAAGTATATAGTTAAACTAATTTCTCAATTATAGAACCAACTTATTTTATGTATTTATTATATTTATTAAATTGACTTAATATGCAATGTAGAGTCTATAAAAAACTAAAAACGTTTATATTAACAAATAAACGTTGCTTTAAATCAAAAAAATCGTGTAATTTAATGAAAAAATAAATGAAGTCGGTAACTACTAGTTTTCAGGGACCTGACCTGTTCTGTTTAAACAGTCTTAATATAATTTTATTACACGAAGACGCATAATATATACAATTTTTATACTCGGAGATAATATTTAGAAAGGTAAGAAAAGATGTACTTTTCTTGATACCGTAGCAATTTCTACAGTAAGTCTTCTGTTATCTGGTTTTCTTCTTCCTCTCTACTTTTTCTTTAATTTTGGTTAAAAACAGTAATCAATTATGGATTTGGGACCAAATATATAGTAAGTTCTTACGAATCATCTATTTACCATTTCGATCTTTGACCTACTCATACGATTACATGTTGTTGCTACATTGTAAAAGTAAAAGTATATAATATTCTATAGACTACATATATCTGACACTTTAGTCATGTCATTCTTATATAATTTTTATTTAGTTAAATGGATTTGACTATATGGAATTCCGTTAAGGCCACATTATATAGACAGTCATGCTCTCGTCAAATTTTAAATTGGTGTTATTTTCAATGTAAATTAAAAAATTTGTATATAATGGGCAATTTTTTCAAATTTTTTAAATATTTCTCCATACAAAAAAATCAATTTGGATATGTAAACATATCCACATATAAATAATAATCTTTTAAATTTAAGCATTAAAAATAGTACTATAATATTTGTAAAGGCAGCTAACAGACAATTGTGATATGATTTTCTGTATAACATACCTTTTGACTATGACCAAAAAGAGCCGAAAATGAGTATAATTATTTACCATATGACTATCTCCATAATATAGCTATTAGTCAAATGACTATATATATTAAAAATATGTATTTATGTAATATATTCATTCTACGGCTGCGCTTAGTGCGCTCCGATTAAAACTGCACATGAATGAGGTTTGTCCTGACTATGGACATGGAATAATATTACAAACATTTTTACCACATAAAATTCCTCAGTGCGATGGAGACTATTTAACAATATTCCATCGTTTTGGCAGAAAATTTGAGGTACACCTACCTTCACGTTCAACGGGGGAAAACGGAGGAAACTACCATGCATATTCTTTATGACTGTCCAGCTTTAATAACGCTCAGAAGAAACTTGTTTCATATGGAACTTCAGTCATCAGAACAGATTAACAACTCTTCTCTAAATTTAGTTCTAGACTTTGTTCACAAAGTTTTAAGAGGCTTTGTGTAATCAGTAGTGAAACTGGTACAATAGGGCAGCTGTTGGGCAATTTCACGTCTATACCTTTTTAACAATTAATATGTAAGATATATAATATATAACTATATTATAATATATTTATAACTATATAATTTTCTCAATTGCTTGAAATAAGTATAGGTATATGAAAGTTGTAGTTTAAAATACTTCCTAATTTGGTTTGGTTAAAAATTTAAGATCACTTAGACCAAGATCTGATATTCTAATGTATACGAATATATGGAATTATGAATCTAAAATTTACATTTGACTGTAATGCTTAAATACTTATAAACTTGTTTATATATACTTAGCATAAAATGGTGCTATAAGACATAAGAAAGAATGTGTTCGTACAAACACTATGCTTTCAAATGTGTAATCAATTTCTTTTTTGATTTAGCGCATTTTTTTATATACTTATTGTACATGCGATATAATAAAATATTTTTTATTAAATTTTGAACATTATTTAGAAACTTGTTTTAAGTTTCAAATTTATTGCATTTTTTATTAATTTTTTATTAAATCATTAATAATTTAATAGCAAACTATGAGATGTGAAGAAACTGTTTTTTGCTTTATTTTAAAACTAACTTGATTTGCTAAAAAAATTAACCATCGATTCTAAAGTATTATCAATAGATACTTTTGACCTTTTTTATAATACAGTGACTTTAATAACGAAAGTACTCCTGTTTTGATTTTTATCTAATTAATGTATATATGTATATAAATTGTGTTGTTAATGATACGTATCTACTAAAACTCTATGGAGTATTATATTGGTTATTTATTATATTATATTTATACTCAAAAAATAGTAACTAACAGTGATAATAATAAATCATATACAATATTAAAAAAATATTTACAATTTCAAATTAAATACCGTAAAATTTAGTTTAAACTTTAAATTAACATAAATACATTTATATATATGCAACACTATATGCAACAACTATATTTCCCTAATCAAATAAAATTATTGTTACTTATATTTTTAATATGTTTATACTTTTTTCATTCTTTTTTCCTGATTTTATTTGCAGATGATGTGCTTTTCTCTCGACGCGGACGAATGGGACGCATTGTAAGTCCACGACATACGCTTCCGCCAAATACAACGTGCACGTACCATTTTCATGGATATCCTGGCGACCTGATTTGGTTATCGTTCACCAGTTACAATCTGCAGATACTACAGCAAGCGATACACGACAACAACACTTTAGGACGAGTAAGTTTGTTTGCTGTTGACACTCACACTACCACTTACAATAGAAATCGCACTTACACTCACACTTGTGCTCACACTTCCACTCTGCACACTTCTGCTCAACATTAACATTCGCACTTCTATACGTTTAGCTTAGAACTGGAGTAAGTGCACCGAACAAAGAAAAAAGTCCCCCAATGGCTGGAGCTGCAGGAGCTGCTTGTGCTGATTGTGCTGCGAATGATATATGAGCAGGCGTGGAGTTATTCCTACTTATTCACATTGCCATGCGTTAGCTCACACTAAAGCTCATAAATTTATTTAAACTCTTGGTGCAGGAGCGTGTGAATGACTTATAACGAGTCGGTTTTCTATATGACTTGCTTTGTTGTTGCCATTACAGTTTGTTTGTTGTTTTAGTTAATAGTATTGTGTTGATGTTGTAAATGCTTGTAGAACGTGACATAAAGGGGGTGTACCATTATACGATTTAGGTTATATGCATATATATGCTTTACAAAAATGGTAAGAAAAGTTTAAATGTTATATTACATAGATGTCATCCAATTAAAAAGTTCCAAGTAATTAAGTTAAAGTATATAAGAACTGCAATACCATTTCAAAGAAAACTGGTGAAGTATTAAAAATCACTATGCCAGTAATAACATACCATTTTTTTATATGAATATTCATTTCAGTTTGTTTTGAAGTACTCGCACTTACAAAAGAGCTACGAATTTATCATAAAAGTTGCAGATATGAGCTATCATAAACAAAACATAACATAACAAAAAAAAATTCAAAATTACACGAAATATTAATAGGTACAAAAAATAAAATAACTGCTAAGGATTAAAATGAAAATAAAACTTAGAAGATTTGGAACGCAACGATTTTTTCAAGCTTCCTTGCTCGAAATTCGTGCCAAGGTGTATGGGATTAAAATGCATCCACTGCATACCGGTATGTGCCACTCAATGTATATGTGAACTTTATATGTTCTTCGCAATTTCAAAATGAATGTATGATTTCCGTTAAGCATAGTAAGCGAACCTTCATGTTTCCTCTCAAGTGTCTGCTCCATTACCATAGCTTATGGTAGTAACGGTTAAAATCGTGTTTTATATTTCGTGAACTATTATTTAAAATTTTTTTTTGTTTTTTGTTGCAACATGCATGCTTCAGCTGCATTTTAAGATTTTAGTTTCCCTTTTGTTATATTGTTTATGATTATTATAAAATACATATAAAGCTAAAAAAATATATACTTTTGACTGCAAAAATTTTACACATTTTAACAATTTTCCCTTCACATGCATTTTATGCATTTTTCTTCCATATTTCAATTGTACTTTTGTTTTTTGTTACATTTTGTTTTTTTTTTCAATATATTTGGTTTATTTTGCATTTTAACAATATTTTAGTTTGTAATATAATAACAGCAGCAGGATTACCACCAACATTACCACTCCTTAGAAATTAATTACTGTTACATTTTATTGGTTAAAAGTTTAACCGATTTCTGGTTAAAATAGTTATTCGACCAGTTGAGGTGTTTGTTAAATTATAATTCTTGCCACTATAAATAAATCAAATATATTTTGTGTTCCGAATATAGATAAAATTTTGTAAGTTAGAAAAAATGTGGTTTAAATGTACAATGAAGAACAATCCAGCCAATAGAACACCTCACAATTTAAACACATATTTCTTTTAATTTTTTAAACAACGTAATTGCTTATGAATGTATTTAATTTGGCTGACAATGAGAATTCCCTGGAGTCATATTACATATTATTTTCATTTCTATTTACATATTTTGTTTCATAACTCAATTAATTTGAAGTATTCAACCGAATATTTTTTATTTAATAGATTTTGTACAAAATATAACGATTATCAATCAGCGTTTTATGCATTATTTCTAATTAATAGCACAATCAGTGCAATTATTGTTAATGAATAAACAATAAAAAGTGATAAAATTCTAAATTTTGCAAATGATGCACTTGCACTTAAACTATATACAGACAATTAAACTAATAGAGGTTTCCAATAGTCATGATGGATAACGATCACGGCATCCGACACATTTAGGATTTAGCTTAACATATTAATTTACTAAAAATTAAATTTTTTATTTGAAAGTCTTATCATTATTTCGAATAGAAATGGAGAATAATATATTAAGTAGTTTTTTATTTTCTGAATTGTTAAACTAAAAAGATTTAATACTTTGCACTGATAAGTAAAAGATATTCAGTACTCTGTAAGTAGTATAAAAAACGTCTGTTACATAGCACAGATATTTGCAAAACAATTTTTTTTTTGTGTTTAGATATTTCTTTAAGCACTATTTTGAAAAATGAACGCTACTTTTGTATAACAAAATACTCCTGACTAGTATCAGTGACATTTAGATAATAATTTACTCCATTAAAAAGGAATGTAAACTTTAACTTATTCCAGTATAAATTAAAATATTGAGTAAAATATTGATTTTTTACACTTCTCTAAGAAAGAAGAATATAATTTTAATGTCAATGCCAAAAAAAAGAACTTCGTAAAAATACTTTTTAAAAATTTGTTTCCAAAACTGGTGTACTAATGTAAATAAACTATTAGAGCTGTGTTTTAATTATCCCTAAAAGTATGCTACATAGTTGTAAAAAGCTTAAACTTAAATACACATATGCAAGCACATTAAAAAAATAAAAATTAAATAAAAAAAATATTAGATGGAGGTGCTTTATTTGAACCATAATAAATATTTTCAAATACTATGTCGAAATTATAATAATTATTAATAATCAATTATTCTACAGCTGGTGTATGATTTTGTTCTAATGTAACACAGCAAGTGAATTTGTTAATAAAATTTCACAGTAACTTAATGAAACTCCAAAAAAATGTGCGATCATAAAAGTCAAGTACAGCTTTGGGTCAGTTGGTTAAGGAACGCTGACTCTGAGCTTCAGATTTAGCAGGGCACGAATACGATTCATGGTACTTGCAGTCTCCAAAAATTATTTAGGAATAATGAAATACAAGAACTATTTTCAAGACCACCTATGATGGGTATTTGGCAATACTCGAAACAGCTGTATTGTCAGCTAAAACTTTAATTAATTGAAATAAAATAAAAAACAATTTTTGTTGTTGTAGTTCACTACTTTTATAAAAATCATAAAAAACGTAAAGAGTTTTAGAAAGATCTATTGTTATTTTTAGAAAACAAACATGAGAAATATATGTAGGCACAAAATAATTCTTTTTCGAATTTTGTTAAATTTTACTTTGTATTTTATCTTGCAAAATTTTTTGTAATTTTTTTTTACCGAAATAATATCTGTACTACAACCATAAAGTTTAGTGGAGTTATAATTCATGTGGAGTCATAAAGACCCATTTCCCTCAATATCGTTTAACAAGACCAAATAAACTATTCAAACAAAAACGAAAGAACTCTTTTACTGCAACACTTTAACGTCACATTTTCAACGCTTCCAACTGCCACTCCAGGGCATCGTTATATTATAGCAAACAATTGTACCATACCTCAATACACTACCAGTACAAGCTTTACAACTGCGCAAACAATAAACTAAAAACCTTAGAAATATGTTGTCAACAACAACACACTTCACCATGTGAACTTTAGGCGCAGAAGATACAACATACAACATACAGTCTCTTAGCACCTAAAATAACATAACAGTTGCAACACCAACTGCATCACTTGATATAACAGATGTGCATTGATATATGAATGCAATGACGTTATTTAGATAAACCATAACAAAATGATCCATACATTTAACTTCCTTTTTTTATGCACATAAATAAATTTTATATGTTATAACATCTGAATATACATCAACCAATCTAACATATTTATTAACTGATTGCTTGCAGGCCGATTTACCACCATGGATTACACGTTTACGCATGTGGGATAGCTATGGCACTTATATACCTATAAAGATGACTAGCGCAACGACTGGTCAGCCACCACCGCCACCCCCCGTAGCGTCTTCAGCAGCCGGTGGCAAGCCGACAACAATAAATCAAACTGGTTACGGTAACTATTACTACAGTCCACATAATCCTAAGCTGAACAAAAATTTGCGAGTAAACATTGATAACGCTTGGAATCCAGTCGACACATACATTTACGGTCCAACGCAGTCCAGCATTTTTAATCAAGAAAATAAATACAGCGGATACCAACAGGCAGGTTCCGGTGCAGCGAAAAGTGGCGGTTCTGCGGGCAGTATTTCGGGTGTTAAGGAGAGTCTCAACTATATTTCAAGTAAAAAAGAAATAAAAGATGCAGCATACAGTGCGGATAAAAATGCTGTTGCTCTAATGAGCACCAAAGGTAAACGTCGACTAATGCTGGAAATTTACGACTACGAAACACCAAAACTATGTGATCATACAGCCATTGGTAGCACTGCGCTTGGCGGTAATAAATTGCGACCGTGTAGTCCTTTGGAAAGCTATGTTAGCTCGGGCAGAGATTTGGTAAATACTTGTTATATAACACTAATAAATATTCTTACTTTAAAATTTAAAATTTTATAAATTTATATGTATTAGAATTAATTAAAATGTTGTGTTGTTAACTTTAATGTAAGTAAACAGCATAATTGGAAATGTATGTGATATTTCACCTTTTCAGATAAATTTACGAATTCAGACTAGAATCGCTAAATTGATACTTGATTAACTTTACCGTATAATTTATTTTTACCGAATTATAGTGTGAATGATATCATGGATATCGAGTTCGTAGAGCATCACGTCTGATAATATTTTTCCTTATTCAGCAGCTAATTCCTTTAACATTTAATATTTTTTGAACTCAAGTCAAAGTTTACATAAAAATTAATGTATCTTATATGATACACTTAAATCTAGCCTATTATCACATTGTTAGCTTAATAAGATTCTTAAACTGTTACTATACTGTTTTAAATTAAATCTACAGATACTGTTATGAACATCACTTTTATCAATATTTTGTTGCAATATATCTTTTCAATATGCCTTAATATTTCAACACAACCTCGTTTTAATTCAGTATATTTCTTTTATTATTTTTTTTTCATCTTCTACAAATAATGTGTTGCATTAAAGCCTTTTACATACCCGACTACAGGGGTTATGAAATGTTCACTTAACAAAAATTTTTATTATCCGACCCAAATGCTTAACTTTAGAAACAAATAATATTGAATACAGTATTGAATTATCTTAATGCCGCATATTATGCGTCAGTTATTATGGAACCCTTTTTGCAAACGAAAAGAAAGATTAACCATGGCCCGCTAATCTGATTGTACAGTTTTCGTATTCTTTGGTCTACAATCTTATTATTTAGAATACACTTTAATATCTGAAAGATAAATAAGCGAATATCTATATTTCTCAAAAGTGGGATTTTCCTCGTTTGGATGAAACCATTCTAACTGAAGCTTAAAACGCGGAACTCAACTTAACTGAACTTAATAAATGTGAAATACGCAACGTATTTATATAATATGTTTTAATTGTGATCAAACAAAATGCATACATTGTCATCAAAGACCATATGATTTTTGCGTCAGTTAAGAAATAAAGGTCTAAATCAACTAAACTGATAAATGAAATGGGATTTGTAGTCAATCACCTATATTTTGAATGTTGCATGTGACTTGTGTATAAAAATATGATAATAATATATGATATATGTGATAACATATTAATATATATAGGGAGCTTTCTTAAGTTGATATAATATTTTGAAAATAGTTATTTGTATTAAGCTCATCTGTTGGCAATGAAATCTTTGGTAAGATCAGTGTATGTAAATACCAAAGACATTAAAGTTATCCCGAAGGTGTATACCAACATAATTTTTACTAAAGTAAAATTTTTACTAAAGTACTTAAAATGAACCATGTACACAAATATATACTACTCAAAGTTAATTCGATACCATATGTGGTGATAGATACCATATTTGGAGTAACTTTCTGTAGCTGTAATGGCATTTTTGATTATTTACCAATCAAAAAACTGGGGGTAACTTTTTCAATCGAAATTTATTTTCAGTGAATTTTCATTTTCGATTGATAAATCTGTATAACACTTGAGATTAATTAATAACACTTGAGATTAGTCGATAACTCTCTAGATATTTTACCAGCGTAGTAAGATTACCTTGAAATTAACTGCTGCTTTATATAACGACAAATAAATTGTGATTTGATTCGATATAGGTATTTTAGAAAAATGCAAGTATCTAGTAACACAACTACAAAAATTTTAGATTACTTTAGAAAATTTTAGATTTTGGCGACAAAATTTGACAGATTTAGAGTAAATCTAGAATGAAATCAGATTTGCCAATCGAAAACGCTATTAACTTACTTTGTAATTTTCTTCAATTAGATATCCAATGAAAAGTATTTTTTATTTACAATAAATGAAGCTCAATTTTCACTTTTCACTAATTCATTAAGATTTAAAGTCCAATTTTTTGATTAACATTTAAGGATTAAAAAATATTTTTTTTTAAATTAAATTTCAGTAGAATTTATGTTAAGAGATTATTCTTTCTGAATATTTAAAAAATAAATTAGAAAGAGAGAAAGCTGCTATTACTTAAAAATAAGCGTTTTATTTGATTTTTAATTCCAATCAATTTCACTTTTTTTATTTTATTGATTTAATTAAATTTAAATATAATTAAATAGTATTTGATTTAAAAAAGACACTCATGACAATAAACAAAATTAACACAATTTAAAAAAAATGTGCAAATATGTTTTATAGAGTTTTAATCCATTACTATTAAAATATATATTGACGAATAAAAAAGGCGAAAAGTTAAAAATGTTTATTGCTCTTGTGCTAAAACGACTAAAATCATAAAACTACAATGGCAATTGTTTAACTCTAAAAAGCAGAGTAATGGAGAACGCTTACAGCGAAAAGAGTAATTTGTTTTCAATATTTATTTAACCAATTAAAGCAAAATTTTATTAAAACTATTATCAATATTTTTAAAACTATTTATTTCAATTCATTAATATTGTATAAATGTTAAATATACATTGTTGAAATGTTTGAAAAAATTTTAATTTAAATAAAATACCAATTTTATGCTCTTTAGAAGACCTTTAACAGTAAATTGAACTCTATTTATGATTGCATTTTATATATGTACATAATTGTATAAATTTGTAATTCAATTTAATTCTTTAAATTTAGTATTTTTAATCAACCATTCCTTGCACTATCACAGTTCGTTCGCCTAGAACCAACCCAACGAAGGTCCTCTGTTGTAGATGAATTGAAAATTCCAATTTGTCTGTTTGTTGTTTGTATGGTATGTAAGCCACAAAATTTAAGTTAACCGCAAAAAGTCTATTAATATTTTATCACAAAATTTTCAAACTTTTTACAAAAATTTCGTTCTAATCAAAAATTCACCTAATGAGTATTTTAGTTATTGTTGTTCTTTGTACCGTTGTTGGTTGTTGGTCGTTGGTTTGGCAGGCAAAAACAATTTTAAAAAATAAAAATATAAATAACAAAACAAAATGGCGCATTATATTGAAATGCAACATATGCGGTTGGAAACTTACAGTCATAATAACAACAAATTGAAAAGTACAGTAAAAACTATTTTGTTTCTACTGTGTTGGCACCGAAATTTTTGCTCATACAAACTTTACAAATTTACACTACCAAAGTTCAACGAAAATTTTCGTACTTCTCGCACCATTTCGACAGCAACAAATTTGTCACCAAAGTTGGATAAGTTTTTATTTTTTTGTGATTTCTTCGAATTTAATTTTATTTCTTAGTTTTATGTGACATAAAAAGTTTTAATTCTGATTTATAATTTAAAAAATTAATTTTGAAAGTTTAGTCTTACACTTTCTTAAGTAATTAATTTATATTTGCACTGGCATTTGTTGTAATACAAAAACAATATTACTTAGTGCAGAACTATCTGTTAGAATAGTTATTTACAATTTCTGTATATCATACATCAATATCTTGTTAAACAAGTTCTATTAAAATTCTATCAATCGAGATTACTGTTTAAATTTCAAAGGTCTAAGTGAAGTAGCTTAGAGAAATATAAAATATTTTATTGATACATTGTCCTCACCAATATTAATGGAACCCATGAGCTATTATCTAGAAACAATGATTATATTAAAATAAAAAAATGCTGCTAAAAAATTAAATAAACTGTACCTCTATTTGCACTTATTTTAGATTTTGTATTAGTTACTAAATTTTACAGGAAAAACAAAGAAAAAATTGAAAACGGACTTCGAATTTTATGCATAGTGCTCGAAGACCGAGTGTATTTACATAGATCTTCAGCATCTGCTAAGTTCAACATCTTTGACTAGCGCGCTAACACTTTTCGAAAATTTCAAGCTAACTAACTAGGGAACACACCTTAAGTCCACCTTAAAGCAGATCTTTCACTTCCGTTTTTTTTTTCTTATGCTAACCATTTTTAAAGTAATTCATTCTTCAATTCTTTTGCTTACCAGCGGAGTCAGACTTTATCCACTTGACAATGTTACTATAGTGGCACTGCTCATTCAACTTATTGTTTTATGACGAACCGTGAACCAAAGATTTTAGGAACAATTTTTCACCTAAAAATTTTCTTTGAGTGAAATCATTAATAAGATTAAAACTTTATACCCGAGTCGTTATTGTTCAATTCATGTAAAATTATTTTACATCAAGAGTTCTAACCCAACCCATCGTTACATACATTGGTTTACATTTAGAAAATGTGATAGTTGTTTGGCGACTTTACCTAAGCAGACAAAAAGATCACGTTATTCTTTATCGAGTTAAGCACAATCAAACGATTTATTTTAATTGTTTGAACTCAACTACCTCATGAAGTTATTAAATACTCCAATAATTTCTTAACAGGTCGTAAAAATATTGAAATAGTTTTTGAAAACATCTGTTGATTTTATTCTCTGTATATAGTTTTTAGACTGGAAATGACCCTTGGACTCACATGTTAATATATGTATGAAGTCAATGTACACTTAATTTGCATGATCAAGTTCACAGTTTTATAAATTTTTGTTTTTTATTCATAAATAATATAGTAAATGCTATGTTATTAATTAGACTTAGCACATATACCACGATTCTTTAAATCCTTTGCATTCTACATTGTTTGTTGTTAAATTCTATGTTCGCATTTTGCGAATATTTGCTCAGTGTTTCAGTTAAATTTCTAATTAAGAATACATTTCATAATTTTTTACATGAGCATGACTAATAACTTGTGAGATCTATTAAGCCCACGAAGCAAAATGTAAAAATACGAAAATATCTAAAAGGATATAATAAGTTTCTCATTTAGCTTATCTCCCTCTTACTGTTTATGTGCACATAAACTACATGCAGAACTATGCAGTATTAATTACTTTCGTAATTAGATTACCCTCAATTCCTAATTCCAAGGTAAATGGAGTTGAGAATTGAGTTCCGAGATTACAAGTGTATTTGTTATTGAAAAAAATCCATTTTATAAGTACCTACAACTGATATTTGGAATTGAGTTACTAGATTACAAGTGAAATTGGAACTGAAAAAATATCGAAAATTCTGAGCAATTAGAAATTTGTTGGAATTTATATCTTTCAAAGCTTTCTTCCATCAATTACTTTTGCAAATTTCTTGGTATTAGGAATTAAGTTTATTAACTTCAATTCCACTAATAATCACAAAATTCAATTCCCAATTCCAAATACTTATACTAAGGAATTGGGTTTTTTAATTTATATTCCAATTGTAAAATCGGAACTCAATTCCCAATTTCAATTACCCTGTAATTGTAATGGAATTGGCAATGAAATTGCAAAACTCTAAATACATGGCTATTGCTTTACTTCATATTGAAACAAATATATCTAACAATATTATATCTAATTCAAACCTTTTTTAATCATATGCTTTGTCAAGAAAATGTAAACACATGAAGAAATAAATTTTTTCTTTAAAGTTTAGGGATTCGTACAGAGCTATTTTAAAAATTCACAACTCTTCATTTAATATATTATTCATAAAAAAGCTCAAAAGCTCGAAATAAAAATTACTATCAAGTGTAATTTAAAATTTTTCTCTGTATATCATTTTTTATTTACACTCAACTTGAAAATCTCACGACCAAATTAATCAAATCTAAACACTTGACTTTGCCAAAAAATAAAAAGTTCTTGAATTGCATAACGTTGCCACCTTTTGCCAAATTCAAATTTAGTAACAAATAGGAAAAATTATTTTTTTCGCAGTACAACTAAAATTAAGGGAAAAAACGAAAACTGCGCGCGTTGCATCAACCTCATTGAAGTAACAAGCAATCCAACTGCGAGTCATGACAAATACTTAGATGCAAGGATGCGTGTGACGATAGAAAGTCAAATCAAATAGACAAAGTCACGGAAATGCAGAACCAACCAACTTAACATGCATAACTATTTCCCATTTCTGTGAAGGTAATCTACGACAAAGTTGCTGCACGTTTGTATCAGCAGACGTGTAGTGATGCAAAATATAAATCAGCGACTCGACATACACGTTGACTGTTTGTTACTCGACTCTAAAATATAAATCTCCTTCATAAAAGTTGATGGCAAACGAAAATGCAACTCCGTGAAATTTCATTAGGAACCAACAAACAACTTTGCACAACCACAAATCCACAATTTCACAATTCCACTTTTACTCTTTCGCAAATTACAACGTATTACTTACTTCCCTCGCCAGAACTCTTTTTTAGTCCTGCTTTAGGGGATGTATTTGAACTTGTGCTGTTGCCAACCGTCAAATAACGGAATTACAAAATTAATGTTTACATTTTCGCAGCTCGGCGCCTCCAAAGCCAAGTGGCAACGCTGCTGGCTGCAGACGGTGCTCGGCTTATTTGAATAAATTGAGTAGGAAATAGTGAATAGCAGCAACTTTGTGGCTTGTGCAGTATTTGCCGTTTACAAATAGGCAGCGACTGTTGTTTGCCTTTTAATTTGATTATTAGCAAGAAGAAGCAAGCAAAGAGTAGAAATTAAGAAATTGAATGCCAAAATTTTTATCTTAAAACTTAATTATCTGCAACTGTCTAAGTCAATTGATTTATGCACAACTTAATTCATTTGTTTTTAATTTTTCAGAAATTGGAATTTCACACTCATACCGGGACTGCACTGTTTCCAGCACAATTCTCGTTAAATTACGAGTTTGTAGATACTGAGCAAGGTGGTGAGCCGTGGCCAGGCCGTCGTGGCGAAGAACCTGTGCCACAATTATGTTCTCGTATATTTCGCAAGCGTAAAGGCAATATTCAAGTGCCACGTAATGTATTCTTGTTCGGACGTGGTGGTGCTAAAAATCTTACCTGTTTGTATCGTTTCGAGGCTGGTCCATCGGAACGAGTTAAATTGGTGTTGCATAATGTATCTTTTGGTGATGGCACAACATGTACTACAGACTCAGATTTACATACTGGTCGACCACGTTGTAATCAATTGGATCCTGAGGGACGTATTACAGAACTCAAACTATTTGATGTACCATTTCGTGATGTTAAAATTCAGCTCGGTTGCTTTTGTGATAACTCAAGCGCACTTTATAGTAACGCCCCGCTCACATTTATCTCAAATTCAAGAGTAATGGAACTATCATTCACTGTTAGTCGTTTAAATATTTCAGAAGACTTTGCCGATGTGTTTTTCTTTGCTTCTTATGAATTTAAACGAGTGAGCGAATGTCGTAAACGTCTCAAACTGAAAGGTTCCGGTGGTGAAGATGAAATTAAATACCCAATGAAATCGCAGGACTCTAGTTGTGAAGGTTTGTCGTGGTATATTGAAGCGCAAACGCTTGAACGTTCATTATTTGTGCAAACGTGGGGATCATACTTACCAGTAGATCCAACATCTGAGGATGCTATGCGTTGTCATACTAAAAATCGCTTGATGGTTTACTCTGGTCGGCCACTTAAAGTAATGCGTGTAGTCTGCCCCGCACAAAGTGGGCCACGTCCAACTTCACTACATATATTCTCTGAGGATTGGACAAATGGTCATCAGTTATTTACCAACAAGTAAGTGTTAAGTATTAAGTGCTAATAATTTCTACAAATTATGTAAAACATAACTTCTAAGTTACTTGTAAATGTTTAGTAATGTGCTTTTATTGATAATAGTTAAGGAATCCAACTACATATGAATACTAAATTTTAAATTTACTTACCACACAACTGCAATTGTTCTTTTGGGTGCTATGAAAATATGTGCCCACAAAGTTTAATAAATATGTTTGTATATGAACTGGTGTATATAGAGGTGTTTGAGTAAAAGCATTTCCTTTGCTGTGCAGATAGTTTTTGTTTTACAAAATACAAGCTAACTCTACATAAACTTCATGGAACTTTGCAATTAAATTTAATGGTAACACGTTTTACATGTGAACTCGACCAACCCACGAAAAAGGCAGATGTACACTTCAGTAAACCCAAAAGAACTTAAACGTTGCATGCCTGGTGTGACTTGTACAGCCTGCGGAAACAAGCGTTAGCATGCAAAAGTCGCTATCATAAAACTGTAAACATTTATGCTTGGGTCGAGCTGGGCTGGGCCGGACCAATGTGGAGACGCTCATTAAAATAGATTGCTTGTTTCCTTCAGGTGTTGCCCTTTTAATGAATGTATTTTTATATATCCGTTATCATTTAAACTTGATCCTTTCTTCTCTTCCTATATGTACGAAAATTAAGTATGCATGTCCCTACGTTGTTGCAAGTATGCAAGTGTTTTCATGTGTGGCAAGTGTGCGTTAGCATAAACAAGTAAGCTGAATGTTTATTATATCGAATGACCATGTGAAGTCGATAATTTACCAAATTTATACGCATACGCACTTACACCAAAATCCTGTAACATTTAACAATTTAACACACACGGCAGATCCTTGGCTTGATTTGACTTGTTGTCTGCCATAATTTTAAGTTCATCCTGCTATCTTCGTTCTACTCTTTTTTGCTGACACTTTAGCAACATCAAATTGTGTTTCCAAAGAGGTCAATTTTTTCTTTAAGTTTTTTGGAAAAACAAATTTTGTACTGTTTCAGACTTTTTTTCATACCATTTAGACAATAAGGACTCACAAAAATGTAGCAAATAAAGAATTTTACTGTAATTTTCATATACGCACCATAACATACATATTTCCTAAACATACCAGGATGAGCTACATGAGAGTCTAGTCATAATTGTTTACTCAATTTATATACATTTGCATTTTCAATTCAATAGTTGCTTTAGCTTTATCGTTTAACAAAACTATTTTGTATCATGTGAAATGTTTATGAATGAAATGCACCATGCTTTGTTAAGCACAGGACACTGCATATTGCATATTGTGGCCTTAGATATAGATAAAAGATTTTATTACAGATTTTATTTTATTGTAAAATTTCGTTACAATCAAAACTAAAATTTTTAATACGAAAACAAAGGACATATTCATTGAATTTTGTTCGTTTTAACATTGTAAAGAAATGTAATGTAATGAATAATGTAACATTGACATGAAGGTAACATTAAAAGTTTGTGGAAATATTAAACTAGGATCTACTAGGATCTATATTTTAAAAAAAAGAAAAGTTATATATCTATTATATTTTATTTTCCCTATGTTATTGGTATCTTAAATCAAACGTGAGGCGTCTCGTTCAATTGAATTTAAATATTATACTTGGAATGCTGCGTTAAAATTAAATGTAATTAATTATCACCAACTTCATTAATAGTTTTTCACCACTAAAGCCGCCACAAATTTTTCTTTTTACTGATCACAGAACTCATCTATTCGATGAATCTATTTTCCTAAGATTATCCACATCTATCAATTCACTACAATTTTAACCATTGGCAGTAAGCTGGTGACTATATGGACATATTGTATTGTTAGCACACATACTTAATAAAACAAGTAGTAGTCACCAGCTGACTATATGGACATAGTATATTGTTAATATACTTTTAAATAAAACAGTTTATTTATATTTAACTAATTTAATTTACTTTTATATTTAGTTTTCGGAATTAAATTTAAATGATTTTAAAGGAAAGCCTGGCAAAATTTTTTTCCTCTTTTATATTTTCATTTTCTTCTCAAGTTGTAGAGGCCGTTAAAGCATATTCTTACCAACCTACAATATTTTCCTATATCCCCTTATTAAACACAAACACTATTCATCTTTTTAAATAATAATTTTAATATTTTAATTTTAATAATGAAAAATTATTATTTTATTTACAGACCTGTGAGTTTAGTATTGGAACCAATACTAAAAGAACCGGGAGATATTACATTCACATGGTTGGAAATACATCGCACGAAAAATGCATTGCTACAGCAATTTGATCTCCAAAGTAATGCAAGCAGCGGGGCAACTACTGGCAACGATACAATTGGTGAATTTGGATTTTATCCAAGAGAAGCGGATTGTGAATATAAATGTCCAGAAATTGATGCATGCATTGCTGCCAACTTATGGTGTGACGGTAAGTTCATAATAATATTTAGTTAATTGTTGTCATTTTTTCACTTCTTGGTACTTTTAATACAAATGTATTTATTGACATTTATAGAAAGTCAAGTTCCGTATTGGTTTGCAGCTCTGTTACCAAATATGTCTTTATGATATTTTTTTGTACATTATTAAAAATATTACAATAAAATAAATAAAGAAATTTTTGTTGGGTATTTAACATTAATAAACGTTATAATTAACTAAATTTTATGTTCTGTAATAAGAATTTCTTGGTTTGTTTTATAAAAGTAACCTTTCTTTTTTAAGAGTTTAATAATAAAATTAAAATAAATTTCTCAAGTGACTACTTGAGATGACCGTACAGCTGTTAAGCACCATTAACTATCGGAAATCAGTGAGCTTTAAAACTATATATTGAACTATTTTATTTATGTATATATAACATTTTAATTAAAATATTTATTATTGACTTAAATCTTTCGATTTCAAATTTATCTTCTAAATCCATAAATAAATTATTTTTGAAAATTTAAATTAAAAGTATGTAACATCAATTATGTTAATTATGAAATTATTTTTAATAATATAAAATTATATATATAATAAAAAAAATACATCCAAAACTACTTATGATGTATATTTGGCAATACTCGAAAGAACTGTATAGTCAGTCAAGAATTCAATTAATTAAAATAATATTAAAATAATTTTTGTTATTGTAGTTAAGTACTTCTCAAAACCTCTCTATTATATATAAAAATTTGTATTAAGTAAAATAGTCACATCAATAATGGTTTCCTTTTCTACATTTCCATAAACTAAATTTGTAGTAATTAAAATAAAAAAAATTTCTTTATTGATGTTATAAGCTTAATAATTTCACTGTCTTTAGAAAATATTATAACTTGAGTGATATTATCAAATATGTTAACTATCAAATATGAAACATGTTAACTCACTTATCATCTAATACCATATCTAACAAGATAAATAAGCAGATATGTCATTCGAACTAACTAAATACACGACTATACATGGTAGGGCAGTCCAGAGCTGATGCGATCGCGGGCAAATACAAATAACTGTACAGATTTTAGGACCGCAAAAACAAATACATAAGTTTGTAGTTATTTTAAACCAAAATAAAAATAAGGTTATAATGTTAGTATTATACCATAAATATAAAATAATGTAGTTTTACCAGTACACCAAAAGGATATTTTCTTAATTATAGTAGATTAAAAATTTATCACGGGCCGAACAAACATTAACCACGGGCCACATTTTCCCAGAGGCCGTACTTTATTCAGCTCTGATATATGGTATTCCTATTGCAAGTAATATCAGTTATTTATGTCCAAGACCATAAAGACCATAGCATATCATAATCTCATTTGTTACGACTGCCCTGAACAAATTTTCAGTCGCAAAGTTTATGAACTCTGTCTTAATAAACTCTGTATCTAATACCCTAAATTAGATTAAAATAAACTGAAGAAGAAAAATTTTCAAGCAGCAATAGAAAAAAATTTTTATTACTCCAAATATGATAGAAATAGTCAGCTTCTGTTATTTGGAAACAGAAGTATTAAAGCAAAGTTAGCCCACTTCTATATCACAGCTTAGCAGTACAACCCTTAATCAAATGATCAGTCTCCATTGTACTACTTTCTTAATGTTCCACAACCACAAGTTATAATCTTATTACAGCAAATCGTTTACAGCAAATCGATAAAGTTATTTTTTCTTTTGTTTTGTCTTGTACTGAACAGAAACAATTTTATGATCGATTACTTTTCCTCATCATAGGTTCTATAATAGTCTAAGCTTGTCCCCAATCTACAATTTCTTCTTCTTAAAATAAAACTTCTCCTAAAACTGAAATTTCTTCGAATGGAAAGAAGTCATCATGATTCTTATTTGCGCAAGCAGGTTATCGATTTTACCTATTTCATCGATTTCGTCTAATTTCTTTCGAAACTTATTTTTAACCATAAGTTTACAAGTCGTTAAAGCAGCGTCAATATGTGGTTTTTCTGAAAGGATTCCGGTTCACATTTAGTATGAAATTTAAAATATATAGAGGTATTATATTGCTAATTAATATATCATAAAGTGATAAGGTGATGTTAATTGTTTGTAAGTAATCCTGAAGTAGTATTAGTTTTAAATATGCGTAAATTAATAATATTTTCATAACCAGAACGAATATTTCTATTTCTTTTACAAGTTACTACTAATACTGCTTAAATTCTTTATTCTAATTAAGTATTATTCTTAATACTATTAAGATTCTATAATATAAAATAGTTTTTGCTCGTTCATAAACTTTATTCTATTAACTGCATTTTGATTGGGTTATTGTTTATTTAATAAAGTTTTTGCAGACGTTGTTGCCTCACACAAATTACACTTTGTACAAAAACTCTTAATACTCTCAGAAATTAAACTTTTTTAACTTATAAATACTTAACATTTACTTCCACATTTTGAAGTGCCAAAGCCAAATACTATAGACGAAAACTGTTAAATAAATATAAGCGAAAAATGGGAAAATGCTGCAGTGTGAATCTATCTCAAGAAATAGAACTATACATTTTTTTATAAGATGAAGATGGATTTGGTTTTTCGCTAACTCTTTTATTCCTTAACTTATATGTATATTTTCGATGTACTTTCGACGTAAACGTGTCCGCGGTTTAAATTTGCTTTATGTACCTTTTTTTCAACATTAAAAAAAATGAACACAGTTTGTTTATTTTCTGCCAAGCTCTTAGAACTGCACTTTCATCTTGCCAACTGCTTCTTGGAAAGATTTTACGTAATGCAATTGAAAAAAGTCTTCCGTGCGGATGTCTACAAAGTGGTTGAGTGACTGCAGTGAGAGGGTGAATTCTCAAACTGAAATGCATCATTTATTTTTCCTGTTTGCTCTGTTACACCCTGAAAAGCAAAGAAATGCAATCTGCGACGTGGTTCTGCGGTTGCCAACATTTTAATTCGTAAACGTTAACGTAAACAGTGACTGTGACTGTGACTGAGACTGAGACGAAAACGGAGACGTACTCTAAATTGTATTGCCAACAGTTTCCGTTTATATGCTGACAAAAGTGTTGCACCAAAAGATAAACTCTCGTTGCAACATACTGCAGTATATTGCCGCACATTTAAGATTCTTTACTATTCTGTGGTTCTTGAAATGTATTGCCTAGATCGGATCACTTACAACTTCGTTTAATTCATGCGGCCCATTTTTTGTGGCAGACCACTTTGTTTAGTTTATTTTCTTCATTTCAGTTATATTTTTTGAACTACTTTTTATATTTATTCGTTTTTGGAATTCAGCAATACAATTGCTGCGCTTTTTGCGCTTATACTGCTTCGTTGCCCATAAATAATTGAAGTTAAAAAGCAAAAAGATTGTTTCCGAATTGAAATAAGAAGTACCTAACCATTATTTAAAGAATTTGCAAAACTTAAAAATAATAGAACTAAAATTTATACAAATACGAACGGTTTACCGCGTGCAGTTGTGTTCGTAAATTTCTTTCATTAGTCCTGGGCATTTTGCGTTTGCAGCTCAATGTGTTGCACTCTTGACTACAAATATTAATATTGCAGTAAATGCAACAAACGCAAAATAAAAATAGACACCAGAATTCCTTCAAATAAATACTATTAATTAGAGATAAATTTTAAACAATATTGTATTTGTTTATTTATAAAAGATCAAAAGACCTTTTCTCTGGCTGTAACAATTTTCCTTCATTTTGCTAAAAGATTCTTTCAAAAAATTACTCGCGGGATGCAAAAAGTTTTCAATTCATTAAAAAAAGGCCATTGTAATTGTTGACCGTAATTTAATTCTAATTAATTTTAGTTAAGTAATTACTCTATTGCGGTGTCAGTAAATGCTCTGCGGTCGGTTTGTGAAGTCTTCACCGATTTCCATCATTTACTTTAATATTTGCATTGTGGAAATGAATATGTAATTAATATTTTAAATTAATAAACACAATGAAAATAAATAACATGTTATAAAATTAAAATTTAATTTTATATTATTGTTGAATAATACAATAACAATAAAATTGTTTTTGTGTACAAAAATATAAAATTCTTTAACATCATTAACTAAATTAATTAAGCAAGACTTTAAAAATGTTCTCATTACAAAGTAAACTTAAATTTGAATATGTTTAGATGTCAAAGAAAACAAATGAAAAACAAATACCCGTATTAAAACTTAATTTTTTATTTGCTTATAATCAAATACAAAGTACACTTTCTCAGTCTTCTAACGAATGAAATCGGTCTTGAATTTAGCTTCAACACTAATAAAATGTATAAAAGTTATACATTTAAATTAGTAAGAATATAAAAAACTTTCAAACTGAAACTGCACTTCAAAATAAAAATAAAAACAAATTGCGACCAATAGCATTTGAAAAAATGTAATTTTCAATGATAAAACTTGGATAATCTAAAAAATGCTGAATAACATATAGACATTATAGAGCTATTTTCAATAGTTATATTAAAAATAATCAGACTCTATATAAAAAGAATCCAGAATTATTTTAAAATTTATTAATTAATTGATTAATTATTGACTGAATTTTATTGTCGTCAAAATAGATCTTACCGAGTACAATACAACTCTGGCTGTGCCCAATACAATTCTCCATATATAGGTCCATTTGAAGTGACGAATTGCTTTTCTTCAAGTGACACTTTAAACTTTGATAACGAAACAAAAATACAACGGGATCATGTTAGGGCCATGTTATATAGAGTGTCAGATGCACAGCAAAATTAGCTCTTTCGAGCTATGACGAAAATGCATGTTATGTATAGTGTCACATCAGTATTGCCAATTTCATATTTTCACTACTTTTTCATACTTTCTGGTTGTATCTAAATTTACCTAAAAGGATATGTAGACATGCTCACTTTCAATTTTCCACCAAAAATAACCAGCAGGAAAAAACTCATAGGAGCTGTAAGAATGTTAATTTATTATTATATTTTCTAAAAGTAATTGTTAACAGTAATTACAAAATTATACGCCTTTCTGTAAAATCGCAAAAGTAAGATAATTAGATTATTAGCGGTTTATAAAATAGTCTGGGTTGCTTATTGACATTGCTTCTTCAAACCATAAAAAAATTGTAGTAATTTGCTCCTAAAAGGCGAAAATTTTGACATTTATTACTGAACGACACTGTTTTGCCTAAATGACGCGGTACAGATACGAAATTTGAACTGACATATTGGTTTTTCTCTCACAGTCAATGTGATAATTTGCATTGAAAACAACAATAATTTTGCTCATATCGTGTTTATGGTGCTTAGTGCTTGATGGATCAATTACCAAAAACTGATACAACCATGGCCTTCTGTAGTCACAAAGCAAACAAAAGTATAATTGCGGATTGCCAGCGAACAGATCGCACTCGCATCTTATAGGTATGATAACACAGTATAGTATTATATACTTATAAAAAAAACAAATATTTTCAATATGTCATTAACGGTATTGTAACATTTTAGAAATATGAGCTAGGTTAGATTACTGTGGCAGTCTCTTTAATATGTAGATCTTTCAATTTTTTCCTATCAAGTTAAATTTACATTAATCTCGTCGTCAGATATATGAAATAATAATATTTTTAAATAATAATTATTTTTTCAGTAAAGAACCTATCAATTTTTCTCTTTTGAAAATTTAACACTCCTTTTTGATGTTCACTAAAAATGTTCACTAAAAACTAGTTCACTTTAATAATAAAATGTACTTTCTACTATGATTTTTGCTACCATTTGTGTATAAATAACTTTTGTAAATTAAAGACCATATATTTAAATTAATATATACATAAAAATAACAAAATTTGCAAATCAAATTAATTAATAATGCATTTTTTCTATTTTCAGGACACCATAATTGCCCTTCAGGCTTTGATGAGTCTGAAGAAGAATGCGGCACAGCACGCAAATTACTTGAACTGCCTGGCGGCGTGTTTGCAGCACTCGGTTGTATAGCAGCCGCCATCACTGCCTGCCTCATATTCTGCATATTCGGTTTAGTGAGAAAACGCAAGAAATCAGTGGTACAGAAAACAATTATGAATGGCACATTAAAGAAGGACTTTAAAAAGGAATCCCTGTTTATTGATCCAGCATCCTGACACGGGCTGCAGCCGGTCGAATATATACATGTCGATCGGGAAACCACAGTGTGATATGTTGTGTGGGCTGATTGCAAATTGTTTTTAACTGTATTCATTTAAATGTGTTTGAATCCTAACCGTAATTAAAACCTAATTGTAAGTAATTAAGAAAAAAATTTAAAATATATAAAAAATGAATTTTTCTAGACGCCTATTTCACAGTCATTTTATATATATAAATATATTTCAAAATATACAAACAAATGTGTACGAGTACATGTATGGTATGAATTTGTGTTAGTTCATTATTGTTAAGATTTACATTTTAATTACTTAAAAAAAACGGTGAAAATCGATACAATCACTGCCTTAAATAAATTCAATTGTAATTAATCATTTATTTATTTATTTAAAATTAAACATAACAGTTTTGCAAGTATTATTTTTAGAGTAAAACTTGTTGTTTGCTGTAATAAACAGCGAAACTTTCCAACAGCCTTTTTTCATTTGACTACATTCATTCCGCATTTTAACATCATCACTTTCATTAATATACATAATAGACATAATTGTGGTAAGAAGAGATTAACTATTGTAAATTAGGTACCTTTGAATTAATTAGAAATGTCAAACAAAATAATTAAAGTAATTACATTAACAGCAATTAAGCATAATAACGCAAACTGAGATGTAATGGGCATTGAAAGGCAAAGGTAAAATTAGAATAAATTTGAAACTATTACATTTTAATGTTAAGGCATAAATTACAATGAAATTGTATAATGAAATAAATGAGATTATAGTCCTTAAGATAAGGTAATGGGCAAAGCACTTGGACAACTTAACTGTAACAAAAGATAAGTTTTAGTGTTAATACGCCTCGAAAATGGTGGAATCTCGAAAGTGTTGTGATGTTTATTCACATTAGTTTGAACTTATACCAATACTTTATTTAAGTAAGAGAATATATATATATATATTATTACAAAGTAAAATCTAATATATTAAACAAGACATACAAGACAACAAAAACTTAACTAAAAAATATTTATACACACGTGTGTATAAAGGCACGTACAAGTGTAAATGTACTTAAAATTATTAATACCTTTGCACTAATGACGCGTTTAACACATAAACGAAATGATAAATGATAAATGATATTGATAATAAGTTATAATTAGGTATTAAGGTATTGAAAAGACAAGTACTTTCAAATGTTGATTGAATTTTCAATAGCATGCATTTACAAACACGTACTCTAACGACTTGACGTAATAAAGTTGAGTATGTAATTATTGCAGTGTAATGAATGAATAAAGTTGAATTCAATTCTATTTAATAAATAGTAAGATTTGGTCGTTTCAGCTAAAATACAATGTCACAGTTAAAGTCGGCTAAAGTTTTAATGAATTGAGTTTTTAAAAAGTGAAGTGTTAATATTAATGAATTATATTTTTATAAGAAATGTGTTGTACTAGATTCACACGAGAGTTTTGTTTGTAATGTTAGCTGTCAAAAATATGCATTTTGCATTGAAAGCAACAACAATTGGCAGCTTAAATTACAAATTAAACTCCCACATGAAACCAGTATTAGTTAAATTAAAATTATTTAATTTAATACAATATAATTCTAATTAATTGCACAAAATATTTTCTTTAAGTTTCAATATAAAAACTGCTTTGAACACTGTCATACTTAGAAGATATTTTACTAATTTTGTTTTATTTATCAAAACATAGTTCTTATCAACGTAAACTTTCTACAGACACATTTTTTTGTTAGTTTTTTCAAAAATTCAATTTATTACTTTTGCCCGAGACTGAAACTGTTGATGCTATGTTGAAATTTAGTCTGAGTTAAGTATTTTGAGAGCACACATCCCTGCCAATTCTTTCTGCAAAAAGTACCATGTAAAAATATAACTTGACTTGAATCTGAACTTAAATGCAATTAAAAATTATTTAGGTTAAAAAAAATTCAAAAAGTAAAATATAAGTAGCAAGTATGAGAATTCTAGTTAAAAGTATAATAGCAGTGAAGAAAGTATATACATAGCAATTTTAAGTAAAATTTATGCAATTAGTAAAAAAATTAATAAAAATTAAATTCCTATTAAATTAATTACTAACAGAAAGAAAAATATTGCCAAAAAATTATAAAAAAAAAATAAGAAAAAAGTATTTAATAAATTTTACTTACAATACACATAGCTGGGTATGTTGTTGCATTAAGTGACATCATGTTTAAAGAAAATAAAAACTAATATACACGAGAAACGAAAAAAAAACTGGAAGAAATGTTTACATTTAATAAGATGGCGAATTTAAAATTTGCAACAATATTAACTTTAATTAGTCATAATAAATCATTGATGATATATTATATAATTTAGCTTACTATGTTATATAAAACTAAACGAAAAAGTAAAAACCAAATTATTTAAAATGAAATCGTTCTTAGCGCATTAAGAAGTATGTAAATTTATTCGTTTTAGATACACGCACATTGTAAAATTTTATTGAAATTTAAAAGCAAATCAAAAATAGAAATTATTAAATATTTTTTATTATAAGCTCTCATTTAATTTAATATTATGAGACCATACATTTTTATAAATATAACGAAAAAAATTTTGTTTTCATTATTAAAAAAATCTTCTACAAAACCATAATTAAATTTATTATTATTTTTTATAAAAAAAAAGAAACAGTTTTCGTTTATATATAAACAAATAATATAAAACAACAAATTAAATGACAAACAACCCTCAGAAAAGAATACTTTTAAGGAATACTCAATGTTTTAAAAAGTTCATAATTTTAAACTAATTTCACACTACAAGGCGAACTTTTACTGTTCTCTTAGACACAATAGCTGTATATCTTATGTGTATACACTGTTTCTTATACAGTTTCTACCTTACGTCTTTTACCGCACGTAACCCTTATATTCTTACATATTAAAATTCTTAATTGTTAGTTTTATCTATAGTTAACTAGTGCGTTTGTTACCATAATGAAATGAAACGGAGAAAACTCTTTTCGATTTTGTTACACAATTGACAAATTATTTTATTCAAATTCTGATTATAATTTATTCATTTATAAAGTTTTAAGATTTTTATTAATCTTACATTAATTTTATTCACTTTTGTTTGTTTAAAAATTATTTAAAAAATTCATATTAATATATTTATACATATATGTTGACTTTTATTTTTTTATTTGATTAATTTTAATATATAAATGAATTAATATATAAAAAATGATATTTAAGTAAAGATGACATATGTCGGAAATAATATACAATTCTAATTTTTTATTATAAATTTTCACTGTCTTCAATAAAAATTTCAGCGGCAATTTACGGCAATTTCCTTACATTATAAAAGGGGATACAAGCATATCCAACCAAGCTTAACATAGCCTTATGGTAAGAATCGTAAAAACCATATAATGTGAAACAGGTCTTGTTATATTAAAGTTGAAAGTGTCTTACTTGCACTATCGTAATTACCTAAATTTTCGCATTTAATTCTGCAATTGTGCAACAATAAGATATTTCTTCATACAAATATTCTTAGTATAATTAAGTCAAAATAGTGTAAACATTTTATAAATGCCTTTATTATTAAACAGAATACTACTTTGAAATATTCCAATGTGGTACCACAATTAGATAAAAACAAATATTGTAAAAACTGATAATAATTACTTATATCCGGCATTTCAAACCTAAGAGTTTAATTAGTGACTTAAAGCTTAAAATGGTTTACATTAAATAGTGGAAATGTCTACTGACTAATATATATTGTATGAATGTATGGAACCCATTTTAAGCAACTTAACAATGACCATAAAAATGAATATTGACCAGTTCTGCTCCTTAGTAATAACGGTAACTTTAATATTTTAAAGATCATTAATAATCGGAAAAGTACTATATTAGTAAAATATTTTAGTATTTCTATCACTCAATAGATAGTATTCTCAAGATCTACTAAACGCATTTAAAATTGAAGGTTTTTCTAATGCAAATAATACTTTTGTTTTAAAAATCTGTCAAATACACACAAAATATAATATCAGCATTGTATTTCACATGTATATAACACATGTATTTTATATCGGCCATGATTTCTGTAAAGTCAGATATCTGGGGTCCTACATGTGTGTACAGAAATCATATAAACATTATTATTGTATTAAACTTACATTTCCTTAAAAGTGTGAGATTGATAAATGTATCACCCAATTCTTTGATTTAAATTAGAAAATAGTAAAAAACTGTAATTTTGGAAGTATATTAGAATGATAATAACACTTACAATTACATATATTGATGTTCTTAAGAAGACACTCTAATTAAAAATACTTAATATCTATTCATAATTTACTTTTAAATATGCGTTATATACAGTAACAGTGTTGTTTAGCGTGGGTACCTGCCATTAAGGCTTAAGACTAAGGTGCATGTATCAAAATAATGCAACAACAAATCTATTGGAAATTCTAATGCATTTACACCGGCATAAATAAATTGATGTGCTTTGGACACACCTTAATACAGAGCGCTAGTATAGCTGAGTATAACAGACAAACATAAGTTTATTATAATTTTTATTTAATCCCCCAATTTATTATCAAATATGTAGCCACTTTTTCATTTGCTTTACTTTGTATTACACGGTTTCTATTAGTACCGGTGAGGCTAAGATCAGTCATTTTTCTGATTTTGAAATTATTGAATTATGGATTCCTGTGATCCTACTGTATACACTTTATTTATATAATTAATTTTTTTTAAACCTTCAAGATGAAATTGGTTTCATTTAACCAAGCAGTCCAGAAGTGTCTTATTTTTATAAGTTATATAAATAATATTATAGTTTTCAATTTCAACATATCAGCGGTTTGCTTGGATTACATGGGTGATTAAGCATGGGTATAACAAATTTTACGATTTTTTGTTCTCAAATAACTTGCTTTTTCTGAACAAAGGGGATTTAATGGTTCCAGATCATAGCTAGAAGAAAAATAATTATCAATATTATTATTGTCAAAAAAATTATAAATTATATTCGATTGTTCATTTAACTTTAGTTTTTTTATAGCCCAAGACATTTAATTAAATTTTTATAATCTTTTTACATCTCTCTAATTTTCTTCAATTTTATATTAATTTTTTATTAAAAATGTATGGTTTCCCAAAGAGAATAATATTATTTTTAATTACTTATATAAACAAAATAAAATTAAAAAAAAAACTAACAATATGTTGTGCCAACAATTTTAGAATTTTAAACACATAATACTAAAAAAACATATATATAACATATATGTAATATGAATATTGTTTTTTAATTCTATTATTATATCTTGAAAAATTATATTTTGAACTTTTTACATATAAAAATAATTTTACGTATTTTTTTTATTGAAGTAAATCATTTGTGTAAATATTGGCACAAAAATATTTCTAACTCTTGTATGTAAACATGTTAATATTAAATTAATATTAAATACATTATAATAATTTAATATTTTTTAAATAATTTTTATTTTGTACCATATTTAAAAAGACGCACTGAATCAAATAGATGAAAATATATGAAAAATAAAAAAACTAAAAGACAAATAAGCGAATCTGTTTTTATTCTTGTATCCAATACATTTTTTTAGAAATCTAAAAATTGTGGTTAACATATACATCTACAACCAAAATAAAAAAAATAATTTGGCATATAAGAAAAGGTTAACAAACTTTGATTTTACAATATATGTTCACAATACTGCATAATATTTCTATTCAAGCAAAACGTTTCTTTAATTAATATGTGCAAACTAATAAATAAGATAGAACGTGGGGAGCTAGACACAGGTACAGATTAGTAATTTAGAAACAGGTTTCAAAGAATTTAAATTCTTAGTTACTGTTAGAGAATTATTATAATTAATCCATAATGAAATTTCGACCATATACGTGTAGCAGAAGTTTTTAAAAGAAATGTTTATTACAGAATTTTTTTTTGTATTCGTATAACTTAAAAAAAGGAACATTTCAGAGTATTTATATAAATATATTAATTTAAAAATATAATATTGCTTCTGTATTTATCTTGAGCATTATTTATACGCAACTCAGTGTAAAGTTCAGCAGATTATCCATTATTTGTATAGATTATTTAACAGTTTAATGCGACAAATAAATTTAGTGATGTATTTAAAACCGACTTCAAAGTTCTATAATCCATACTCGTAGTTGTCATATATAACCAAATTCAAAGTTAGTTTTCTTCCTACTTGTTGTACTTGTAAAGGTACTCAGTTTCAAATTACTCTAAAACTAACTCGATTCTGTTATACTTACTCGATTCAGATTTAAATATATCTGTAACTCAACTGAAATGTTCTGATAGAGGAAATGATATGAAAATATAAATTCATTAAAATTCAGGAAACAACACCCATTGAATATAAAATACCAGCATAACGAAGAACATACAGCGTACGGTTATTTTAGTTATTATTAAATAGGTCGAATCCGAGTTTCAGTATCCAGTAATTTTCGCTTAAGCTATTTGCAACAAAACTTTCGATTAAAGCAAACTATATCAGAGAGTGTGCATTTAAATTTCATAATTAATGTTATTATTTATTTATTTCCTTTTTAAATCGAACTAGATTTTTATATAACTGCCAAACAAATTCACTCGTATAATTTTAAAAAACTTCTCGTATTGAAGTTAAGGCAGAGTTTACTTTTTTGTTTCAAAAAAACTATGTATTAGTGAAGAATAGTATGCTTTGACGCAACAGTACAAAATTTTTTCTTATAGATATAAATTAAATCGTTATTAACCTAATATGCAACAAAATTAGTCTGTTAACCATATCGAAGCTTTGTTCGAATTTGAACAATTTTCAGAAGTAGTACAACGGTAAGCGTTTAAATTTACTTTTCATAATAATTTAAATGAAGTCAAGAAATAATAGAAATTAATAATTAAAAAAATTTCGATATGAAAATTAAAATTAATGAACAATTCTAACAATACAATTTATTTAATAACACAAATAATATAATATCTGCGAAAACCTGCTTGTTCTTTGCGTAGTTTGCTAAACACAAGTTCAATTATTTCATTATATTAATATTATATATTACATATATATAATATAAATTTTATTATATTGAAATTATTTTCCTAATAATATTACCAACTACAGAAATAACCACTGTTAGTTTCTGGATATAAGTATCTCCCTCTTTTGATATATTCTTTTTTAGCCGCTAGGAATTAATTTTGATATCTACATAGTTCTATAGAAGTCTGAGTTTGTTATTTTGTGATTCCAAAAGTATATGCTAATTAATTTTTATTTTAATTTGTGGGGATCTTACGACTTAACATGAAAAACAACATAATTTCTAAGTCCCCATAAACCATCTTACAGCACAGAATGTTCGTCAAGATAATGTGAAGGATTTTAGAATTGTCCGCATAAACACAATCCTTTGCGTAAGTCTACAAAAAAGTCCAGTTATAATAATTTGCATGAAGTTAGTGACGAATTCATATCACCAAAACTTGATGTTACATGTCAGGAAAATTTATTCTGTTTCAAAGCCAAATCAGAACATATTGTGTGACTTATGGCTTCTGAAACGGTTCCATTGAAACCACATATCTTCTACAACTATATCTTCAAACATTGAGGAATGTTGCAAGGAAAGTTTTGAAGAATATACGGGTCTGTCACACCTCCAGATCGAAGGCAACACAATGTAGTGTCTTTTATGGCTACAACGGTCTTTTAAAATTATTTCTGCAAAATTACTGCGTAAGATGCGACGATTTTGTTTATTGACATGGATAACTATATATATGTATACTATTTGTTTCACACAAAAAAATAAAAATTTCAGCTTTAAGATTTTAGAAAATCATTTAGATTATAATCAAAATCAATGTTTCACATTTGATGTGAAATGATACGATTATTATATACAGTAGGACATTTATTTCTTAATGTGGATGATTAAAGAAAATTATCGTCTTAATAAATAGGTTTTTGCAATTCTGCCTTTCATAATAAAGCTACTTTGCGTTTTGAAAATAAAAAGCGTTTCATTTTAGCATCCATCTATCTAATTGAAGAGTTTAAACGCTTTATTCTTTGATCATGTTCATAATTACGTACTGATGGATTTAACTGTTTAATAATAACTATTTACACGTATAATATAAGACAACAGATTTGTTGGTCAGTTACAGAGCGCTATTTTGGTCCTTCAACATTATATTGTCCAGCATACAAAACATTTTCAATAATTTAGTCTATAGACTAAATACATGTAGAATGTATTTTACCCATTAAGACCATCCGGATCTTTTGTGCAACTTTAAACTGTTCGTTTTTTGTTTGTAGCTATACTAAAATTACTATACTTAGTCATATACAAAAATACGCTCACTAACGTATTCTCTTAGTGCATTATAAATGATCTTTTCTGTCATTTTCTTGGAATTAATCTTATTACACGTTAGCTCTATGAAAAGATCAGTTATTTACTTGGCTCAGTGATCGTGATAACAATTGCACTCTTTTGAAAATTACTTGTAAACAAGATACAGTATGTTAATTATTTATTAAGTAGTTTTTGAGAAATTACGGTTTTTAAGGTCGATGACTTATTTTATATAAACTTTTCTTTGACATCATATGAGTTGGCTAATATTGAGAAACGTCACCTTCTGTTGACCTTTACCAAACGATATATTTTTATTTCTAAAACAAGAGAATCTACGGTATAAGTAAAGTGTTTTTATACATCTTTAAATTGAACTTTGCGATCTGTATCAATCAAAAACAACTCTCAACTCTAAACTTATTTATCTTTAAAGTCAATATCAATTAATTTTTAAATTTTTCTTTCAAATAAATTCATCAATTTTCAGCTACTGAAATATTGACTATCAATATGAATCCTTTGGAAATTTATCGCATGGTCGTTATATGCATATTGATGACTTTGATAATAATTTTGTTAATTATACGATTATATTAATAAAATAATGGAATGAAAAAGGTACCAGCACAATAAATATATCCAAAGAAGATTAAATGGATAATGTACTGTGCTTTAAACTGGCTTTAATTGCTACAACTTACTTTGAAATATATCTCAACAAGTTTCCAACTAAAACAAAGGGCAGCAAGCACTATGTTTACATTTCAATTCTCACTTCGATAGGATTGTCAGTCTTAACACACTCATACATATCCTGGAGTCAAAACTACGCGAGAATTCTGAGTTAGTTTAAAGTGACAAACAGCCAGTGGCAATTATTATTAATGCAACATTGCCAATTAGGAGAATTTGTTGCTTCTGGTGAAAATCTGTTTGGCGCTGCAAATGTGAATATGCTATTGTCGCAATGTTAATTCGGCATTTTAGTATCTTTCTGCTAACAACTGCAAATTAATACCTTCAAGTAGACAAGCATTCCGGTAAGCTATGACACAGATTAATAATTTATAAATAACACCGATGTTGACTTAAATTCAATTTTTTTATTGTTTTTGACTTTTATTATTGCAAAAACAGTTAATTGTTGACTCAACACTTAATAATTGTAGTATTTTTGACATTTAAACTACACAAAAATAGTAATGATTTACACATGTGCACTGTTGCTTACAGTATTGTTTTTAAAAATGTTTACTTTATTATAAGTTATTTTTTAGTTGCCTTAAATGATAAAAAAAATATAAAAATTTTTTTTTTAAGTAATCGTATAATATGAGTAATTTTATTAAAATTTCTTTTTAAATAAGAAAAATGCTGCTTTAGTATAAACGCCTATTTTTTTAAAATTTATGACTAATTACTCATTAGATTTTAACAAATTTGACACAAAACTAAATAATTCATAAAAATATTTGTAAATAATTAAATATAATAATAAAAACTATTAAAAAATAACTTACATGTTATAGATTAGGTCCTGTAAAAATTTTATGTCTTGGTTCAAAAAATTGTATGGAAGAAGAATATATACCAACAAATAGGACATCAAACAAAAGTTTGCTCAGAAAACAAAATTTTCAGTCAAAACATCATACAAAATCGTGGGTCTCTTAGACCAGCCTGCGACATGTTTTTAATCTACCACAATTACGTTTTGGATTATTGATAAAACTGTATTATTTTTGTGGTATAAAAAATAAATAAATTAATGAATTAATAAAACTAAATTTAACATTATAACCGTATTTTTATTTTTGTCAAAAACAACTATGAATGTATGCATTTGTTTCTGCGGCCATTTAATCGGTACAGTGATATGTATTGGCCCGCGATCGCAACTGGCCTGGACAGCCCTGTCTTTGACAATGGAGTCAGCTCAACAGTTTACGAAAAGTATGCGGAAAAATTTCTGTGTAATAATATAGAATAAATTATGATAATTAATGTTATGAATAATATTCTAATGACATCAACCTTTTACATTTTCGCAAAAAATAGGATCAAATTTCATAAAATATTCTTAACTAGCAGTAACGTTTCCGGAGAAAAATATTAAAAAATCGTTGTATCAAGATTTTATATGGACTAAATTTAAACGCAGAAATTTATCTAATCTATTATACTCATATGTTGACCCGATTCCAGTTTTGCGGAGTTTAAAAATGAAATAGTTTTAAATTAATTTTATTTAAAGGTATTATTATTGCTTTATACGTCATCAAATGAGTACGGATATATTGCAACTATATTTATAAAGTACAACAACATATATGTGTAAGGAAATATAATGATTGTTTTTATTTATTTTTACTACTACTGCATTTTAATTTTTTTTTAATTTTATATTCTACACAAACGCAAATAATTACATTCCTATGCTTACTTAAAGTAAAAATGTCTTCAGTCGATTGACTCATATAAATGAAGCAATAACGAAATGACGTTCTTATATACGTCATGTCAGCAAAATTTTGAAAAACAATAAGAGGTAAAATTTATTTAAACATTCTTTAAGCAAATACAACATATTCATAAATGTATACATAAAAAATTCACTTTCTACATGTTTTCATATTATTGATTTTGATTTATTTGTAAATTATAAATTAACAATATTAATTATATCATTTTACCAACAATCTTTTAGTGAAATGTGTGAATAATTTTTTTAAGTAAAAAATGAATATATAAAGAAAAATATATGCACATAACACACCATTTATTATCTACATCATAATTTTAACAAGTTTATAAAAGATATATCTACAATACTGAAACTAACAAATTGCAATATTATGCGAATGTCTATAATCCAATTTTTGGTAAAGTTATTAACTTAGCCTTTATGCTTTATATATTAAATGTTTTCAAAAAAAAAAGTTTTTTAAATAAGAATATATAATTGACTCTGTATCTATAATTTAAATTGAAAGTAATATCTTTAAAATAGAGCACAAACGTTGAGTTCTTAAATTCAATTGAAATATTTATTAATTTTGTCATTACCTTATTTTTTTTAACGTTAATATTCTGAGCTTCAAATTTGACAGGACATGAGTTCGATTCCTAGTACTTGCAGTCTTACAAAATTATTTACGAATAGTTAAATACAAGAATTTTTTTTAAGAGCTCTGATGATGGGTATTTGACAATACTCGAAACAGCTATATGGTCAGCCAAAAATTCAATTAATTAAAATAATATAAAATGAATTTTTGTTGTTGTAGTTCACTACTATTCGTAAACCTCTTTATGTAAACATTTTACTATATATAAAATAGTTTATCTTATACATTTTTATAAATTAGATTTATTTTTATTGCTAAAATTAAAATAAAACACATATTAAAAGTAAAGAAATATTTAAGCTATAATAAAATACTTTAATAGACCATATTTTACAAAACATCCTGATAATTCGTTTTTTGTATAATATGTTATGAAATTTCATTTTTCCATCTCTTATCGAATTTCTTAAAAACATCTTTTAGTCAAGCATAAAATTTGAAAGAACTTCTATGAAATGTTCGGTCATTAACTTTTCAAGTTTTCTACAAACTTTTTTCAATATTAATTACTAAACATGGTTTAAAGTATATAAAAAACAAAATTGATAATACAAATCCCAAATGAACAAATTTTGATATTCTGAATTCTGAATATTCTAAAGAGCGGTCCGCATTTGTATCTTTGTTTATACTAGTATGAGATCACGCATTTGTACTTATAAAAAGGAATTAAACAAAAAAATGTACACCTTTGAAGTAAATTTATCAATTCAACTTTACCACTTTTTATAATAATTGTTTGCTTAATAGAACGGCACAACAAACAAACAATACATATAAAATATTTAAAAAAGTAGAATTTTAAGAAAGTATTTTTTAAAAAGTAATCAAGAAAATATTAGGTTTTTAAAGACTTTATTTAACTTCATAGATGCTTTTGGAAATTTTTATTTCATCAAGTGTTTTTCATAAATTTTCGTATTTAAATTTATGTTCAACTGTTTCAACAAATTGTTCAAATATATCAGTTCGGTGATCCAATTGAAATATCTGTTTGTTTTTGGGCTAAATCAACCTAAATTATTTAAACTCTAGGCATAAAAAAAATTCTGGTTGATTACTGAAGACCGTTAGGTTATGTGTCAAATTGAAATGATACTTAATATAAAAAGCAATTAATAATTTTCCTAAGAAATTATATCTATTATCACATTTCGACAAAAAATTGTAGTAATGAGTTATAATTAAAAAATTAATTGAATATTCTATAAACGTAAACAGTCTTGTTTAAAAAGCTGTTTTAATTTGCTTTCTATTTTTATATAAAAAACCAGAAAAATATTGAAGCTATTGAAGAAAGATACAATATTTTAACTTCCTAATTATACACATATCATAATAACTTACGCATTTTTGTATCTTCCCATGAACAATTTAAAAGTTATGACTGTTGTAACAATATTATGACGATATGTTTATTATAGTATAAAGGAGTCGATAAACTCATGTCCGGGTGTCGGTTAATCTATCTAACATAATGTTTGTGTTTAAGGTTCGTTTAAAAATTTTGTGTAATAGCATATTGCCAATTATATTTTTCATACCAGGGGCGCCATAAATGAAGTCTTATATTGTTAATACACAACTTCTTGTATAAAACAATAATATGCTAAGTACTAAGTATTATTTTTTAGTTTTAAATTAAAAAAATATTATTATAAAATTAATTTGTTTAAAGTTGTGGAACGTTATATTATTTATATATTTTTTGTAACCAGTAAATTGAATTGAATTGTGTAAGAAATAAATCCAGGAAGAACTGGAATCAAATATTATGACATATTTTTTCGTGAAATTATATTTTTGAATATGTATATATAGTTAATTAATTTGCACTAACATTTTTGTTATCTAAATTTCTATAGAAACGAACTGGCCTCATTATACTATTAAACTTAGTCTTCTATTTTGTTTTTTTTTTTTTCATAAAATTAAATATTTAAACAAGTAATTTTTGAGTTTAATACAATAATATTTAACAACAAAAATTATGTATAAAATTAATGCATGATGGAACGAGTACAATAATTTTTCAAATAATATTGATATACATGCAAAAGTGCTACGTATGTATAAATATAAATTTGAATATAAATATTCATATAATATAAACTAATTCAAAACGATATCAACAATATGAAATTTTTACATTACATTCAAAATATAGGTTAAATCTATATAGCCTATATAAGCTTAAATATTTTTATTGTAAATGGCTTGACAACTTTTATTTTTTGTACTAACTCTTCAATTCATAAAATCCAATTTTGTTCATTATGTTCATTATGATATTTAGTTACTCTTTACCATCTTTTTTAACTTGCAAAGTTCTAATATAGATTGGCTTGGTTCATTTGTCACTATTTTACGTAAATAACACTAAAAATTGAGTCCTTTTCATATTTTTCGGATAAAATCATTCTCTTTTATTAAAGTTTTTATATTCAATGAAGTGCGCAAGTTCTTCCCACAATAAGACGAAGGTGTTGTAGAAAATATCTCAGAACTTAATCTTTTTAATAAGTATTCTACAATAAATTATGCTTCTTATCTATTTCAGTACGGTAACATGCTACATTTATCTCAATTAAATATCTAACAATATCCAAATAACCTGTCATATATCAAAACAAGAGAAGGCATGTATGGAGACGTGATTAAAATCCTCTTTTAAATTAATGATGAAATTAAATGACGAAGTAGAAGATTTTAAATAATAGTGATTTACAACAACATGTATTTTTTGAGTTTTTTGCTGACCATATAGCTACTTCGAATATTGCAAAACAAATATCATCTATGGTTTTTGAAAATATTTTCTCGATTTACTTTTTCGAAAATATTTGATTAGACTGCAATAACCAAAGATTAACGTTACATCCTGTCAAATTTAAAAGTCACGTCTATTAGCCAATTGACTGAAAGGCATTCTTTACTTGTGTTATTCTTAGTTGGAGTATTCTTTTCTTAAAGTTTATTAATATCAAGAATACAAATTCGCTTTCGTGTGTTATATAAACCGAAGTATAAACTATAGTCACATTTTATTTAATTACGTTATATTTTCTACTAGGATTTAAAAAAGATTTTTTTGTAAAGACATTATTTTGGATTTTTCACTTTTTTCTTTCTTATAAAGTTAATACTTTTTAGTAACTATAGGGATTAGTCTATAACTTTAGGAATTTACTATAAAGAAGTAATGTGAATGTTGTTCTATGTTCACTTTAAGCGATTTGAAAAACCAAACATTACTTGTTTTATTCAAAATATTTAGTATAAATTGATAATAGTTTTTTTAATGTTAAATTTATTTTTATTCAAACGTTTGTAGTAGAATTTTTTGTGAAATTTCTTTCTGATTTCATTTTTTCAGTACTATTAAGTAGCACTTTAGTAGCATTCTTCTCGATAATAGTGGCATTTCTTGGCAGTTTCGGTGATACTTATGTCATATATTTTATTAAAAAATTTTATTAAGAACTTTTCATACTCATCATTTTCAAAAACTAATTTTTTTATTTATATATTAATTTGAAATCATAAGCAAAACTGTCACCCAAGACATC